GAACATTTCTCGTTCTGATGCACAGTAGAATTGTAAATTGGCTGATCCAACAATGTCATGCTCATAACTGTGCCTGAACTGCTAAAGGGAACTGCTGCTTTTTCTTTCCTAATCCTTATTAACGGCATTTTCCTCTTCTTTTATTGTATGTTTGTCACACTCCTGTGACCCGCTATTTCCGGGGTGCCTTGATAGTCGAAGAAGACTTTACGCTGTTGAAGCTAGAGAGGTGAGCAGAGTAAGTCTGATTCCCTGTAAGGACTTCTCTGTTGACATCCTCCCCTTGGCACTCATATGACCTTATGCAGTTGTGAGTGCCGTAAAACCTCAACCAAAGATACTATCATTGCCTCAACTAAAACTAAACTAAAATTGGAATGTATAGAATAAGACTTACCTCATATTATTTACCTTTCTGATCCTGCAAACATTTGATTTCTAGCCTCTCTGCATGACAGAATAAGAGTGAGGCAAATGCAATAGTTTTCTACTATAATTATTTCCAATCTCAAATTCAAAATTTCTTAATGCACTTATTTCGATATTTGATATGTCTACTAGCTGCTTTCCTGGAAGCATCGAGAACAAGTGCAGGCTGATATAATATAATCTATGGTAACACTTTGGGTGGTGAAAGATTTGTGTAGCCATCTTGGATAGGTTATTGGGCTGTTAGTTGATAAAATGTAGTTGGCTGGAGTTGCGTTAGACAGGTTATCCTTTTATTATAGTATAGTAATATTATATAATTTAATTTTTATGTATACCTGCATGTGTTTTTACGGTCCTGTACAGCCCAGAAAAATTTCCCTCTGTGAGAGTAAAGATTGATCTAGTCTTATCTTATCTTTATGCAGTGCTATGTTATAGTAAAACATTGAGGGGGAATAGAAAGTAGATGTTTATACATGCTGTTGTCTTATACAATTGGCATTCTTGGCAGGATTGACTGTAGTATGTTCTTTATGTCTGTCCTCAGCCTATGTAGATAAGCGTATTATGGTGTCAGTGGCCTAGTGGTTAGGCACTTAGATCCTCAATCATGAGGTCATGGGTTCAAATCCCATCAGGGATTGAACGTTGTGTCCTTGGGAAAGGCGCTTTACACAAATTTTCCTCACTCTACCCCGGTGGGAATGGGTATCTGGCTATAGACAGCAAAAGTTCTTGTCAGTTTGTTAGCCTTTTAACGCATGCAATCCACAGCTTGCACTGTATGCTTCCTTTCTTTGGAAGCTGAGAATGTTTTTGGTTGTTCTAGGTTATGCTGGGGTAATGATAGTTGGAAAGCACAAAGACCATGTTGTAGAGCGTGGATAGGCAAAATGAAGATGCAGTAATTATTATTATGTAGGAAATGTAGAGATGAAAGAAATAAAGTAAGTTGTTTGTTTGTGTTCCCAGTCTGTCTGTCTACTCTGTGTGAAATGGGAAACGTTAAACTGTTTAGGTTTAACAGCCCTGCCTACATTATTAGGTTATTTGGTCGCTTTTAAGGACAAGCGGGCTTACCCAGATTTTGGGGGTTTCCAGAAATCTTGACCTACACCAAAGTGAGCATTGCCCTACCTATAGGAGAAGTTTGGTTTCATTTGTCTGTATATTTGTTTGGTTATAGAGAAAACTCTTCTTGTCTTTTATAGAAACTGAACAAGGGGCAAAATCTTTACCTTTGATTTTCTCAAAACAGCATTTTTCGGGATAGCCCCCTTGTGCTTAAAAGCGACCATTTAAGAAGTGGTCTACTCTGTGTGTAAGGCATGCAGAAATTGTTGAGCTAATAGAAATAAAGTATACTATGTTATTCCTCTCATTCCTCAGTCTGTCGTCTCTGAATCAAGCATGTAAGAAACGGAAATATTCAGAGTCCCCGACGGGTACGGTTAACCCAGCCATGTTACATGGGATCAGCGGAGTTATCAACATCAAACAGGAGCCTCCAGGTAACAGGAGAAACAACACCTCCAGTCTGTGGGAGAGCCACTTGGAAAAAACAGAAAAATAACAAACTCTGTAATATAAAACCCAAACTGGAACCGCGAAATCCTTCGGACCTCTCCAGAACAGACGAAGTCATTTTTACTCGATTGCGCATCGGACACACGGCCCTGATGCATAAATACCTCCGACAGGGAGATGAGATGCCGTTCTGTGTTGGATGCGACACATATTTTACCATTAGACACATTTTAACCGAATGTCTAGACTTTGGAGAGATCCGAAGGAAATATTTCAAATGCAAGAAATTGCAAGACATTTTTTCCATTGTTAGTCCCGACAGAATCTTGGATTTTATGAAGGCCATTGGCCTATATGGAAAATTATAAAATGAAACAATATTGTTAAAAATGTTATTGTTATTTATAAGAGTTGTTTTAAATTGAAAATATGTATACTGAATTTTAATATTTTAACATTTTAAAGTCTAATAGTTGACCAACCGTGCAGTGAACTGTTGCGATTGCAACCAACTTGTGTTTCGCGCGCTCATATGACCTTATGCAGTTGCGAGCGCCGTAAAACCCCATACTAACCTAAAATTAGGAGAAACAGAACGGACAATCAGTGCACTGTTTTATTTTTGCTGTTTTAGTTAAAAGAAGATTCAAATTAACTTCTCATTTTGTATACATTCACAATGGCCTTTATCAATCATCAAGCATGAATCGTAGCTGTCACAAGAAAAATGTAATGCCTTTTATTTTTTGCTTCCACTGTATAGCACAGTCAAATGGAGTAGAGGATTTTTATATACTACCGTTTTGAAGTATTTGGCTTTTCCTAATTTCCCTTCTTTCCTATCAAACATCTATCGTCCTTATCTCTCCTCCTTCTTTTTTTGTGTTGTTACTCTCTTGTAATACCTCTAATCTTTGGCACTTGTATGACTTTATTGTGTTGCAAGTGCCGTAAAACTCTTTCTAAAACAATTTCTAATTTCAGAGACACTGATTAACATACTTAAATATCTGTTTAGTTGTCATGTCAATATAAGACATTTTGGGGAAAAATATTTTGATATCAGATGAGATGGTTTTTTTCACTGTTTGAAAGGGTGCTCAAATATATTATAATTTTATCATTTGGTATCAGTTGCTCTTTTCCCTGAAGCTATTCATGTTACGGTTTGCAACCAACCAGGAAAATGAAAAAAAGTCAGGCATTTCATTTTCAGATTTCTTGGATGGGGTAACACTATGAAAATGAATGAGAACAAAAATAACTGGGGAAAAGACGGAAAATCAAAGGGCTGCCCATTATTATGAATTTGGAGTTTCTTCTTCTTTTTTTTTTCAATTTAGAAAAACCCTGATTCCAATTTATGAAAGTTCATTTGACCTTCGGCTTCCACAACCCATTCTCACCTTCCTGGCTTAAAAGTTAGAAAAACAGTCAGATCCTGACTGTCTATGTCACTACGTCATCTTGTGCAGCTAAGTTTTATCTTCAAATCCTCTGTGCACAGAGCCCTTGTAGTCCCTCAGAACCACTTTGCCTTAAAAAAAAAAAATAGTTGCTTCAAAGCCAGGAGTAAGGCAGTGGGTGGTTGGCGGGTGCTCTGGTGTGGTCTTCTCCTTCTTTCTTATCAAACATCTATCGTCCTTATCAAACATCTATCGTCCTTATCTCTCCTCCTTCTTTTTGGGGTTTGTTACTCTCTATGTAACACCTCTAACCTTCGGCAATTATATGACCTTATTGTGTTGCAAGTGCCATAAAACTTACTAAAACAAAGGAGTGAGGCAAATATTAAATTGACAAGGTGTTGAAAAATTCCAGCACTTATAGGTTGTGAGTGATGGCTGGCTTAGGCCATGCCAATGAGAAAATTAAAAGAAAAAAAAACCGCGGATCTACTTTGATACTGGAGACATCAGCATGTAACGTAGTGATGTAGCCTACAATCAGGATCAAAGACTTATGATGTGTCCCGTCAGTTGTTTGTTTTTTTTGAAAGAGTTAAGCTGACAGCCAATAAGTACCCCACCCACCTTCTTTTTCTTTCTGTACCGAACTTGACAATGACAGGCCTGTTAATTACTTTTTCATCACATCTTTGTTTATGTTACAGTTATTTTCCAACCCCCGTCCTTGACAGCCCAGGAAAAGGGACTTCACTTTGAAAATGGTTACAAAATCCCGGAAAAAATTCTCGAAATTTTTACTCCTTGATGAGTGGGAACTCTTGTCATACTTAGTCTTACAATTCTTTTAAAGTGAGCATTTGACCGTTGACTGATGCTTTTTCTCAATAGGTGTGCAGGTGTACATGGGGGACTGCTCTGGAGATAATGATTTCCAAGGTTACGATGTAGATGCAAATGGTCAATTTGTGGACAGTGCATACCAAGTTCTCAAATGGCAACCGTTCAATCAGGCTAAATGGGCAACCCTCACCAACGCGGAAATGATAGATCTGTAAGTTGCTATATTAGTTTTGTATTTGTGAGTTTGTTTGCTAATGGTATGATATCTGTATGTTTTTATGTAATTGACGTCTGTAAGTAAGTTTGTATGGTGGTGGTAGATTTGTAAGTGTGTTAGGTGATAGTGAAAGTTTATCACAGCTCATTACCCTTTTGTGATTTGAAATTAGATTAGTTGTAGTGGAAAAGTAAAAACAAATAATGTAATTTGCCCTTTGTTCTTCCATCATTTTAATGAACTGTTCGGACAATTTGGGTTAAAACAAAATATAGAAACTTCCTCTGGGTAACTGAGAGAATTTTGAAGTTTTAGATTCTCTCGAGATATACTATTTATAATAGGAGTTAGGTCAGCAGCACCGAATAATGAAATCACCCAGCTCATTTGCATATGAGCTGGGCTATGTGACTTAGTCTCGGTGTGTATGCGTCTGGCTGTGCGTGATTGTAATTGTAAGTGTTATTCGTGAGAATGTGTTGGATCGAGTGTGCGATTGTTGGTCTTATACATTGAGCCCGAGTAAGGCAACCATTTGTTTCTTTATTAATAAAATATATGCATTAATAAAAACAAATGTCTTGGTGCTGCTGTTTCTAACTGATGTTTGTCAAGATGACTTGTCATGCTGATTAGATTTCCAGACTGCCAAGAGAAAATGCCAATCGTGTCACGGCGTGATGGAATCAGGCACTAATATCATCTGAAAGATAATTTATTTGCCTTGTTTCAATGAAATAAATATCCATATATCTTGAATAGAACTCAAGATATCTGCAATTGAAGGAACTGAGGTCGCCCGGTTTAAGAAAAATGACTTATTTTGTGTCTTTAATTTTAATCAATGTTTTTCAGTCAAATTCGCATGGAAATATGTCTCTATATGGATATAAAAGAGGTTGAGCCAAAAATAAAAATGAGATAAAAATGTCCAAACTTTCGTAAAAATGACTGTTTCACCGATTTCTGTATTCTAACGAGCGCCTGATTTAACCACACTGCCTCTCAATTTCTTACATTGTCCTGAAACTGTTTTGGTTCCGCCCACAGAGCATCACCAGAGTACAGAGTGGATGCTGATAAAGGCTTTATTTTCTCAACTCCGGATGAGGCCTTCGTTTGTCAGAAGAAAAATCATTTCCAAGTTACTGTTCACATGCGTCTCAATGGACATGCTAAATACGTCCGCACTCCAGAAAGAGTGACGAAAATAGATCACTTCTATCTTCACTTTTATGGAGTCAAGGTACGATTACATAGTTCGGGTTGTCTCGTATGTTTTCTCTATTACTGATTCCTTGTGTGTTGTATATCCTATACGCTTCTTTGTTAGGATTTTATTACAGAGAAATTGATGTACTGCTGAAATTTATTTACCTGCTATGAGAAAAAAGTACTGCTGAAATTTATTTACCTACTATGAGAAAAAGTGACAGATAAATGCTTAGAATTAATTTTACCTCCTCTAAATGCATGGGGGTTCATTTGAGATGAAAGTGTTTTTTATTTAAAACTGAACTAGTACCTAAAATTACAAAAGCTTTTATGTAGCTTAAAACCACATCAGCATATTTATTTTGTTTAAGTTATACTTGTGAAAAAATAAAAATATTTCATAGCTGTAATTAAGTCAATAAAGAAACATATATCTGTTATAGATAAATACAAAGAAAATAAGTTTCATTTTAACTTGTGTCATTTAGATGAGTCGATAAAATGTTAACCTTTAATTACAAAACTTTCTCAGAGGTACTAAAGCAATAGAGACATGGCTGTCACATAAAAAGACTGTGCACATTAATTTTTTGAAGCAAAGTATGGTCAAAATTTGTGCTTGGTTGTATGTCAATTGGATGACATTATTCATACTTTTCTAAAAAAAAAAAAAGGTGTTCTACGAAAATTTTTGTGATAAATCAAAATGGTATTACTCTCCAAAATCAGAATATTATTGGTAAGTTTGGTCAATATTTCCAAATCGTTCGTACTTTCTCATTTTTTATTTGTTTCTTTCCCCACGTTTACAACAGATGGAGTCTCAAAATCAGCAAATAAAAATTGAGCAGTCACAGTCAGACAGAAGTAAAAAGTCCTTCCATCCAGTGCAGTAAGTTCTTTTTAATCTTTTGTCTTTATTCACACGTCAAGTCACTTTTGGTTTACTAATATACCTTCTTCTTCATTTTCTTTTTCTTCTTCATTTTCTTCTTCTTCTTCTTCTTCTTCTTCTTCTTCTTCTTCTTCTTCTTCTTCTT